ATCCAATCAGCTTGTCTTTCTATTCAAAGGCCACATTTTATTTTATTAGGTTGGCCTAGTAAGACACCAAAATAACTGTTTTAACTGTATGTATTTTTCATATTACGGTGTGTAATTTTTTTTATATATTTACTTTTTTGCTGGGAATCAGAAGAGAAGATTCATACAACTATCTGTGCACTAGAGCAAGAGCCAGGAGACAATTAGCTTAGCTTAGCATACGCAAAGAAATAGGGACAGCTAGCCTAACATTGTCCAAAATACAGCGACAGAGCTAACACCTCTAAAGCTCACTAATTCATAGGGCTGCCCCCTAATAGTAGACTTAACCATTAGTCGCTAAATAATGACACACTTTTATTAGTCGAGATAGTAAAATGTCAAACTTTGTTTGGGACCTGCGCCTTGTCACCTGGACGGTAGTATCAGAGGATTGTTGTAACATGGACCTTTTACTCTTGTGACAGGGGGTCACTTACCGGTCAACTAGTTAGTGCTCGTATTAGCTGACTGTACCCAGACTGTGAGCTCGAAGTTGTCAAACTAAATATTCAGTCTCCTTGCTGTTTGTTCTGACCCATTCAGAATCATAAGCATTTTCTCCATTATAATTTAACAGGCAGCTGAAATCTATATAATGACTTATAATATTAATGATAAGTTAATATCATAAACATGCGACGACTAGTCGACTATTGGATTTATCTAACGGCTACTAGTCAACTAGTAGTTTAATTGGGGGGCAGCCCTACTAATTAACATATTGTATCTCTTGTTTAATCTGACAACAAATGTAAAAAGTCTTGATGCTAAGCTAAGCTAATGATCTGGCTCCATATTTAGCTCAAAGACATGAGAGTGGTATCAATCTTCAAATCTCTTACAGGGAATCACCCTGTTTCCCAAAAAAGTTAAACTATTCATTTAAATGATTGTCATCTGTTCAAGCTGGCATCAGTTAACTTGGACCAAACTTTTAGATTAATGACAACATTGAGCTGACTGAACCGCGAAAAGGAAAGATTCTTTGAAGCATTGATGCTGTCACTTGGTTTGGGTCGAAGGAGATTCGAGGGGCTAATTGTTCAGCTGAGGTCAGCAATATCTTGAGTGGTAAGCTATTTAAGAATAAACACTTTAAGGAATAAAAAAAAGGAAGCCAGCCTTAATTTTAAATCACTTCCAGTCACGCTAACTCTACTATCTGGTTGACTGAGCTGCTACTCTGCCCATTTGAGTATTTCACATTATAAAACACCTTCTGGGCAAAGAAGTGACTGAGAAAGAAAACAAGTAGAGGTAAAAAGCGAGTAAAGAAAAATGAGAAGGAAAACTAAAAAGAAGAAGGAAGAGAAATGAAAATAAGAAAAAAAGCTTTCAGGCCTGAGCTTGTCTCGTGCCCTTCTCCTCACTCTCAACTTATCTGCATCTTGGCTGCACACTTTTTATAAATTATTCCGGGATGGAGAAAGGGGCCAAAACCTGGAGATCTGGCTTTCATTTACATTCTTACTGGTTTGTGCTTCTCCTGCTCTCTTTTTTCTTCAAGAACAGAGAACGAGATGGAATTTCAAGGGGAAAAAGAAACAGAGCAGGAATCGTTCAAGCAACAGAATCCCTGAGTGAGCTTCCCACAGGGATCTGTATGGCTGCCGTGTGGTTGTAATGTCTTTGTCCGCCCATCTCCTCTGATTACCATCATGTCTCCAGAGAGGTCCATGAGGGAAGAATTTGTGTGTTTTCATGTGTGTTTGCAAAGATATGTTTGAGTGTGTATAGAAGTATACCACCAAGTATAGTACCAAGGGGAAAAAAATTATCATATCATAATTTTAAGATGAAAGTAAGTCCAATATCCATTCCCTTTTGTTCTGCTTTGGTCTCCACCACCACTATGTTCACCAGCTAGCCACTTAAACTTTGTCTCTTGTTTTGTGCTAGGTAGGTGGTATACAGTTGGTTCATCAGAGCTTGTTGCTGCCTGCTTGAAATGACACTGGTAAGAGCAGTGAGGCTGAACCAAAATAAATAAGCTGAATGCCGTAAAACCCCCAAAATGAACTGAAAGACACTAAAGCGCTCTATAATGCAGAGGAAAACTGCAGGGGTATATGATAATTATCTTAGGGTCTGACACTTTTGACATTTCTTTTTTTAATATTTTCCGTCCTTCATATTTTTATTAGTTCTGCTTTAAGTAAGATATTTTGATTTAGTTTATTTTTAAAGGTTTAAAGATAATTTTACAATTTAGTTTTAAGAATCTACCTTTTTAACATTTTCACATTTCACACTTTTTCATGTAAATACTGTCAGGACAAATCTTCCATTAGTGATGACCATACATGTATCATCTAGGTTTAAAACATTGGATAAAAAATCGGATAAACAGAACAGAAAAATGCTTATTTAAATGACCATCTTTTTCAGAATTTTACCAGGGGGTAAACATTTCATTTCAGTTCCTGTGTGGGTGGAAGATTAAACATGTATTAATGAATTTAAGATTTGGTCTAGGGGGGAGCAGTGACATCAAAGTCAGTTATTCTCCTTTCATGTGCAGAGAGATGTGTGTATGCATGTGTGAAAGTGTGAGCATATGCAAATTCTCTAACTGACAAAATCTCACACGCATGCTCAAAAGCCCCCCGAGGGACAAAGCTTCAATCTGCGTTTTGTGTTAATTCTGGCATCGCAGGAATGAACACATCGTCCTGAGGGTTGAGTGCCATGGTTACAGCCCTGCGGAGGGGAAAGGGGTGTCAGTATCACACTCTAAACCAGGAAAGTTCTCAAATCTGGATCTCATTAGGCCTGTAGTCTGCCAGTGGTGGAGTGAACACATCCAGACTGCAGCCACACTCACCCAACAAAGCTTCAGCACTGAGACACAGCAAGCCAAGAGAAATAGACCGGATCACCAATAGAGTGCTCAATGACCTGAACCACCCCAACGGTAGAGGATGGAAACGTCTGGATGAAAACTGCAGACGGGTTCAGATGTTTGCTGTCTGCATGTTGTAAAAAAAAAAAATACACCGAAAACAGATGTAAATACAAAACATACACAAGCAGACTCGTGTACATGCACACACTAACACAGATCATTGGTGTCTCTTTGTCCACGGTGTTATCTGCTGTTATCAGTGTAATTGGAGCAATAGGGGGTCATTTCCTGCGAGAAAGGAGCTTAATTGCGATGACTCATTGCTCCTCACTGTATCTCGCAGCAACTGCTCAACTGTGGTCAGAGGAAGACCAGATCGCCTGTACCCCTTTCCCACAATCCCTCCCTCCCTCGACTTTTCCTCTGAACTCATTCCTCAACTCATCCCTCCTTCTAAAGCCACCATGCCCTGAAAGCACTTCAAAAGAACACAGATCCTCATAAATCGCCCTTGAGTGGCCCCCAAACCGCAGCAAGTCGGCTGGAAAATCCAAACAAACAATACGCTGATGAGCGGGTTGGACTGTCTTAGGTCATGCAATAAAACCCCTTGAGCCCATCGAGTGATCGGATACTGGAAAGTAAACATCACGCTTCAGTTAGGCTATATGGAAATGTGGAGAGGGGAGGATAAAGTAAAAGAAGAGAGGGACAATCTGCTGCTGCTGTGTCTATCTGTGTGACAGAAAAAAAGGACAAAAAAGAGATACAGTTGCAGGCAGTGAGGAATGTTTTCTTATCGTCACAGAGCTGGTCTGGCTAGTTTGATTTTGAGGACTTATCAGTGGATTAGGCCTGAGGACTGAGTGGTGATAGATTGCAGGATGGGCAGCCCTGCGATAGCCTTAGCAAGACCCCAGTCTGAAGTGTTTAGGTGATGATGAAGACAACTAGAGAGAAGTTGGCAGGCAAAGACCATTTAGATGGTGTTTTAAAGCCCATTATGCCATACTCATATCTCTGCCTCTTAGGTAATCAAAACCTCAACCCTTATTAACGTCTGAAAGTTGAAGCTGTGAAATAGCATCTGGGATATTTAAAAGCTTTATGGCGATGGGAGGAAATGCAGGTCAGGTTCATGCCCCAGCCAAGTTCACCTTCTCAGAAAGTGAAAAGAAATATATACTCTCAAACTGCAGGTGGTCATGAGTTTCAGACTCTTTTGACAACCATGTCCTTCCACAAAGGCTTAGAAAAATATTAACACCACAGCTGAAACTTATAGCGACCAGCACTGCCAGCTTAGAGAAGCCATCATAACATTACTCCCCAAGTAGAGTCAAATCAGCAGGGTGGCTGTGGGCCGACCACAAAAATAAACCCATCATGCACCACAAACAGGTCCTGATGGTCGCATAACTGGTCCATCAAGGTCAACATTACATCCACACCCAAGAGGAGCTGGCTCAGCATCACAGCGGTGTGTGTGGTCAAAAACATACGTTAGGAGTACCACAGTGGGAAATCCATATGGAGTGTGTTTCCAGTGTTGCTGTGGAGCACAAAAAAGGAAAAAAACAACAACATTGTGATGAATGAAAGAAATCAGGAATAGTGTGATAAAGAGAGATACTAAACAGTAACAGGAAAACACACTAGACTAAGTAATACACAAATTATCAAGAAGAAGAGATGAAAGAGGATAGCGTTTCCTTTCTGTCCTGTCTATCTGAGACAACTCATTCTCAGTGTCAGATTGCTGTTTGTCTCTGAGGCTTTGCTGTGTGCATTCACCCCAACAGGATATTACAATTTAATAATCTGCTGATGGGGATCTCCTCCTACATACACTTCTGCAGACAGCAGCTGATGGTGGGTGAAACCTGCAACATTTAGACAGACACATACATCCGAAACACTCACTGACGCAAAGAGCAGTGGAATAACAACACAAACCAACTACAGATTTCCTTTGCTAGTTGCACAAACAGATGCATGCACATGCATGCGGATATTATAAGTCTATACACATTCATGTGTGTGCAGGAACTATAATTACTGGATACAATGAATAGCACAGCAACCTTTTTCAGTGACACAAATAGGCCGTAGTGGTCCTTTGTGCTGAGAGAAGTTCATGTTTTTATTTCAGCCAATGGCTCGGACTGATTCCATTTTCAATACAAAGACCAGAGCAGAGTTTTTAAGGTTAAGTTGGCTCAGGGTGTTGTGACCGTTTGATCTGTTGATTCAGTGATGTGTGTCAGTATGTCAGCATTTACATTTAACTGACATTATCAGGACCTGGAAAAGTAGGCACTTGACCCTGTCAGAGAGAAACACAAGATTGTGATGAAGACCATGTGAGAGGGTCAGAGTAAAATGTAGAAGAGGTGGGATGGCAGAGAAAGAAAGAAAGACTGCTTGTGTACTGCCCACACTCAGACACAGACATACACAAAGGAGCCAAAGGACTCTTCAGCTGAAGCAGGTAATCCTACAACAAACAAGTTTAGCTTACGGAAAGCTCTGTTTGAATAGTCGGACAATGTAGTGTAATGTATCAGAGGAGCAGCCGGATAAAGAGCAGGATTTCCAACTGTCAAAACACTGTTGAATGAATAACTTACCTGTGTATAGAGGTGTAATGGTTAATGTACAGCTGTTTCACATGTGTTCAGGGGACAATGAGTTTGTGTTTCTGTATGTGTAGTAACAATCAGGACATGTGCCATCATAAGCATTGGCTTTGAAAATTACAACAAACGAGTAAAGGTTTTATTTGAGGCTTATACAGCGTCCCTCTCACCTCTCCCCTGCATTTGTTCTGTCCTGATAAACCTTCTGCAGACCCTGCAGGGGAGGATTCGCAGGTGAGCCGCTGAAGCGTGTCAAAGCATGCTGCAATCTCACTGACAGACTCTAGGAATTGGGATGCCATCATTGCTACATAAACCATAAGAAACATCTCACTTCCCTGGCTGCATAAGTGGGGGTTGTAAAATAGATAATCATGGGAGTAATAAATCTAAATAACAAACTTGAGTAATACCAAAGCTTGTCTTTATTTCAGTTGGCTCAGCGAGGTTTGGGAATTGTTACTGAGACGCATCTTTTCAAAACTGGTTCTTTCAGCAAAATGGCAATGTTTTACCCTTTTATTTGTTAAGGTTTAAAAGGTGTGCTTACTTAGAACACAGGAACACCTGGAAATTAATGGCACTTATAATTTACTATATTATATTGTTCACATTGCAAGCTATTGACAGCTTTTATGCCATCTTGCAAATGTTTTTCTGTTCCCAAACTAACGACAAGGGGAACATTTGTAGTCATTTTGTTGCTTACACACTGTGTATTGGATGTAGATAACACATTTTGAGGAAAAATTTGAGAAGGGGGCCGGTGTAAAGTTAACTACTTTTCTCTTGCTGCCATCATGCTATCATTGTACACAGAAGAGAAGAGTCTTCATAATGACATCAGGAAGATTCAGTTTATTTCACCCATCTGTGTTTGTATGTATATATGTATAAGTATGTCGATCATTGACAAAATGTGAACTTTGAAATGTAAAGAAGTCTTGCGGCCACAGCTGTTGAGGCTTTCTAATCTCAGATCTAATGTAATGATCGGTGCAGCTCCTCCTCATCTGCCAGTCATCAAGAACAGGTTTTAAGGGACTTATAGTCTGCAAACCAGAAGAATACGCACAAGTGTCTGTGTTCATGTATGCCAGAGAGAAAGAAAGAGAAAGAGAGAGAGAATGTGAGGGGGAGAGAACGTTTCTTTTAAGACCAGCCCCCTTTTTAGCTGTTGCATGTTTCAACTAAGGTCTTCCTTCACTTCCTTTGCCATGTCAGTTTGACTGTGAGTCAGTTGGTGCTCTTGTTTGGATTCTCCTCACTGAAAAGCAGATGAAGTGCAACGTTACAACAATTCCAAGGTAATTTTCTTGCAATTCCTATGTCTGATGAAATATGTGATAGATGCTAATTTGCTTATTTTATTTATTTTGTTTATATTCAGCAGGTTTTGTTGTAGTCATACAGAACCGAATGTTGGGAGAAACATAATTACAATCATATAGTTTTCGGATTGTTTGTAATTTGTGCTGATGTGAATTTTTTGCTTTAGCGTTTAAAATAATCTATTGCTTTATGGTACCATTTACACCCGAGGAAAAGATAGGTTGCAGAACCCTTTTCCTGAATTTTGAGAGATGAGATTATACCACAAGCAATTTGTGTGTAAAAATAAAAAAAGAGATATTTGATTGTTTCTGTTTGTTTTGTTTTTTGTTTTTGAGTATTTTTTGAAACTTTTTCTAAACATAAATGCCGATGCTTGTGATTATAACATATGTATTCTCCCGACCACATCTCATTGTGTGTACCTACTATAGATACCGGTATTCATTCATGATCTCCATTCATATTTTTATTCGTGGCATAGATTCATTCCGTACTATTAAGGGACTCAACACACAGCTGTTTACAGTATGCCAACATGGGCAAGTTATATTCTTGTCCCACATTCCTGGCAACAGATTGAATAGGTTAAAGTCTCCAGACCATTTGTTAAATGTTAACATATGACTCAAGAAGTGAGAAAAACATCACACGACAGAGACTCAAAGGAATGCAACCCTAATCACCTCTGATTGTTTTCAACATTAAGAGTATAAGCTAAAATATTTGAACTCATAACATCACAATTTACACTGAGGTGTCGCGGGAAAGTATGCATTCATCTTATCTACCAATTTACTTTACAATGTATGCCAGAGAATTTTCAGTATTCTTACACCAGCCTACGCTTTGCCTTTCTGTAGAATTGTACTACATGATTTCTGACTCGCGGCTTATTTGGCTAAATTTCTTAAATTTTAGGATTGTGATGTTTTGAAGTGAATCTGTAAGCTATGAGTGGTTCTGCATCCTTCCTTTCCATTATTTTTCATGCTTTTCTTCTTTTCTTTCAGCAGTGTCTGGACCCTCTAATCAGGAAAAACAGAGCTCAAGAGCACCGTCTTCTGGCCAAAAAGAAAACATCTGGGGATTCTGGTGGATTACACTGTATCAACTTCATGTAATCCCTCCATTTATTGAAGGAGGTAACACATTTCTTCGTGTATCTTTTTTGTACAAATTCTTCACAGCTCTTGGTGCGTAAAGCATGTCCACAAAAATGACTTTATAGCCACTGACTGCAGGCAGAGTAGAAGAAAGACAGCATAAAACATGGAGGCTTCAAGTTCTGCTTATGCTGTGACTCCCCCCTCTACACCTATATTCCCCACCTCCCTTACTCCCTCCACTCCCGGCTTCTTGCAGTTCTTCTGGGAATACCAGAACAATTCTGTCCTTGTGGAGCATTACAATTACACCGGCAAGCTGCAGACTGACCGCTATCGTGAAGGGCTCAAACCTGAGGCCATTGCATTCCTGGTGGTGTGTCTCCTCATTGTCCTGGAGAACGCTGTGGTTCTCATCGCCATTTGGAGGAACAAGAAGTTCCACCTGCCCATGTATTACCTGCTGGGAAACCTGACTCTGTCTGATCTGCTGGCTGGGATTACATATATGGCCAATATCATCATGTCCGGACCTAATAGTTTGAAACTTACGCCACTGCTATGGTTTCTCAGGGAGGGAGGGGTCTTCATCACTCTGGCTGCCTCTGTAATTAGTCTGCTGGCAATTGCAATTGAACGCCATGTAACTATGGTGACTATGAGGCCATACCATGGGGCAAAGCGGGGAAGGATGTTGGCACTGATTGCTGCAAGTTGGGCCCTGGCAGGGTTTTTGGGGGTCCTCCCAATTTTGGGATGGAACTGCATCTACAGACTGGATCAGTGTTCAATAGTCCTCCCACTTTATGCCAAGAGCTACATTCTCTTCTGCGTGTCTGTGTTCATTGCAGTGCTTCTGGCCATTGTGGTCCTTTACGTCAGAGTTTTTCGCATTGTCCGCACCAACACGCAGCGCCAGCGGCTGGGCCTGTCAGGCAGTATGAGGAAGGGCTTAGCGAGGAAGTCACAGAAGTACATCGCCCTCCTCAAGACAGTTACCATTGTGCTTGGAGTCTTCATCGCCTGTTGGCTACCCCTCTTCTTCCTCCTTCTGCTGGATTTTTTCTGCCCCTCCCGCAGTTGTCGCCTGCTCTACAAGGCAGATTACTTCCTGGGAGTAGCCATGGTCAACTCGCTCCTCAACCCCATCATCTACACTCTGACCAGTAAGGACATGAGGAGGGCCATTCTGAGGCTGCTCTGTCGGCCGTGTCTGATGACCAAAGATGGCCAGGTGAAGAAGATTGGGATGCCATTCCTGGAGTGCAGTTTCAGTAAAACGGAGGTGGCATCCCAGAAGCTAGAGGGGGGACCTGAGACAACCATTTCCTCTGGGAACGTTATCACCACCCCATCTCCTATTAAGGCCCTTTACCCTAAACTTTTTAAGTCATAAGGACTAATACTGACTGATTGAGTCCATAAGTGTGTGAATAGGTTTCCCACTGAACAGAGGACATGTAGCACATCTTCTATAGAGATGAAGTAGTTCACAGAGGGTGCATGAAATATTATGGAGGTACAAGAGACTTACATTTAGATGAACGTCTCACCTTGACAAGTAAGACGTGGTGCAGTTACAGAAGTATAATCACATGAAAGAACGAAACGCCATAAGGATGCCACTGAAATGTGAACAAGCAAACAGACTTTTATGAGTAAATGCTGGTGATGAGTCTCCTTAACTAATTTGCACTGAAATATCACAATGAATGGAGAAGTAGCTTTGGATTGAATTTTCTGGTGGTTCTGTAGTTAGTGTCAAAGCCTGGAAGGAGACTTCTGTAAACCCAAAGACTCTTGTGACTAAAAAAATGTTTAATTCTCTCTCAGACTTGTGGGTTAATTGTGAAAGAGTGTGGTTGGCTTTGCCCCTTTACTGAAGTGCCTTAAACACAGCCCGACCACATCTAATATGTGCAGTATGCAATCTGTGCACCTGCAGGCACCTGGATTTCGCTGGTTCGAAAGCCCCATGGTGTGTTAAATTTAATCAGATAACAGTGTAAAGCACCCCTACACATATCTGTGCAGGTGATGAAGATAGAGTTACAGGGAGGTACGTGAAGAATGCTGTGGTATAGGTGTGGGAGGGAGGCACTCAATTAAAACCCCCCACTGTTTTGAAATGACAGATGGTTAACTTATCTGATGCAGAGTGGAAAGTTGTTGGGGTTTGTGTCCGATTTTTTTAAATGTCAGTCTGCCAGATAAATTGCCAAAGAAAGACTACAACCAAATGTCATCAGATATTGTGATAAGCTGGCCAAAAAATAAACGCTTTCTTTCCATCATGACATGCTGATAGTATAACTCTGACTGAAACCAAATCAGCTGCAACTGCATTTATATTTCACCTTGCAAATAAAGTTGTAGACGTAATGCATCCAGCTGCATCAGGACTTTTAAGGACAAGAATGTGCCTGCACTTGTAAGCTAAATCATGCGGAATGAGTGCAATTATTCCAGTACTTCCCTTACTATCCATCATGTTAACAGAATATTTTCGGTTATAGTTTGAGGTACTGAATTTTATTATGAAACGTGCATCAGTCTTTTTATACAGATATTTTTTAGTGCAGTCTCTCTGGATCTTAATTGATGAATGAGGAAGTGTGTTTTTTTGTACTGTAATTCATGTAGTGAACTTTTTTGCATTTTTCTGAAGACTTTTCATATCATCTATATTGTAAATTATATCTATTTTGTATCAAGAAAAGGCTATCAAACCTTTACCTTTCTTTTCATAAAAGAAATAAAATGTTTTCTTAAAATATTCAAAGAGTTTTTGGTTTACTTTGACCGTGTGTGCACTGTAACAGTGCAGTCATATATAGTAAGCATATCTGTGTGTGTTTCTTTTTGTGTAGCTGATGTGTGAGTGGAAGAACAACTCTAGCAGAAACACAACAGGAAGTCAGCCCCCTGTCTCACATCTGGTAATGACATTGGCCTAGATACAGTGTTCTTCTACAAGCTGTGCGTGTCTCAGGACAGCTTCAGCGCCACACAATGCACCTTTTATTTTAAACACTGGACACTCAATTCTTCTTTTTCCCTATCCTGTCAACCTGTGGGTAGGATTGGCCCTCACCTCACTGTGACCTGCTGTCCACGCTTGTCACGGCTGAGACGGAGAAAGATCATATGCAGCTGGCTTTAATGTTGTTGCCTGCGTGCTCTCTCTCCTGTAGACACAGCAAACTCAACAGGCTGTTAATTCAGTTTGTGTATTTCTCTACAATACCCAGGGAGGAAAAAGACATTGTTGTTTGATGGGGCTTAGTTCACGACAAACATTTGTGGCTTTTATTTGGCATTTGGGCTCATACATTTAAGCTTTGTAGCGTGATTATTATGAATGCCACAAATTCCAAGATTGACAAATTTTAAATGAAGTCTTAATCTGATTTGTTATTTTGCAACTGCAAGTGCTGGACTATTACCACTGTTTGTTGGTTCTCCTTTAACCCTAAACATTTTCAATATAACAAAATTCTCTTACTCTAAACATCAAGTGTGGTATGACTAGGCAAGTAGTTTTAGCTTGAGCAAATAGCCTATTTCCAGGAACCTATTTTGGGACATATTTAAGCTTATGTATGCTTTCACACCTCTCAAAAGAAACTGTTGTACAAAGCAACTCTTAGCAACACATAAATCAGCTTCATCCAAACAAAGTCTAGTGATACCAAATAGACAGCCTGACAAACTGTAGTTGTTTACCCTTTTTTTAACCCTCAGTGACCCAAAGACATACTTATCTACAATAAAAAGCACCACATAGCACTGGCATACCTTTGATATGATTTGTATGGGTGTAGTTGTTCCTCCAGATGTTGACTGTATCCACCAGCACTGAGCCTGCTGACAGAGGTCAACAAATCAGGGAATCTTTCCTGGCCCCCAGCTTCCTTCCTGCTGCTGAAATCATACAACAAAGTGGACAGGTAGAAGTCATAAGTCATCCGTCCTAATCACACAGGCGTGTATTACAGATGTACTGCTCCTTACCCCAGAAGAGCTTTGGGGAAAAATAAGAGTAGTTACATTTGCAGCTAATAAATAGAAGACATGGCAAAGTGTATGAAAGTAAATCATAAAATTGATCTTAGAGCAGTCTGTGAGTGCAGATTTAATTTCAGATGCAGAACGAGCAGACAGACACAATGGCGCTTGTCTAGGAGTGTGCATTTGTTGCCCCAAGAGTAACCTCACCTAATTCCTCTGACTGGAACTATACCCAGGATGACTGGCAGAGTAATCGCTGATTCAAGACATGTCTTATCATATCAAAGATTTTTTCATGACTGTTGATGCTTCATCATCCATTTCAGTGACCCTGAGGGAGCAGAGATTTAATCTCAGCATGAAATATTTCATTTAATCAGCTGTGAATTCTGGCTACGGGGCTCAGCAAAGCGCAATTATTTTTCTACTATATAATTAATGGCAGCACATTTCCAAATAGTTAAAAGTCATTTGACAAAGGTTATGTATTTTCTTTGCGCCTGCAGTGTCACAGTTGGCTTTTGGTGCCACCTTGTGGCTGCTAGCCAGAACACACTGTGCTGTACACTATATTGACCTGAATTACGTATTTTCCAAGACGGGGAAAAACTTACTGGTGTGTCAGCACCTGCCTGGAGCGAGCAGAGTTCTCTGTGTGCTGTAGGAACCATTCACAAACATGGATTTTTGGGGGGAGAAGGAACCTTGACAAGCAAGGTGAGTTACACATACATATGAGAAAGCAATTTGGGTTATGGGGCAATTATGGGCTATTATAGCCCATAATTGCCCTGAGCACCATTATGTTTCATTTAACGTCATTAAACAATAGCATTTTAGCAATTTCCTGTTGGAAATTTCACAATTTAGTCACACTGCTTTAAAGTGACAGATTTTGCTTTTATGTCATTGTCTTTACAGCCTACTTGTACTTAAGATTCACTTTTACTTACCGTTACGTAATATCCTTTACAGCTGGTTACAAAGTGCAGTGGACATATGTGACAGGTTTATCTTGGTATTTGCATTATTTGTAACAGATTTGATTAACGTTAAAGCTGCAGTTTTTTTGGGCACTTTGCCAACTATTGGCCTCGCTTTTCCTTCACTCTGAGAACTCCTTCTCAATAAAAGCCCCCTCCCTCGGGACGCGTTTCACTGCCATTGCCCGTCAACGGAGGCGGGTGCGCGCACTGGAGGCGGACTCTTATTGTGAAAGGGAGAGGAGGCCCGTACAATGCTTAGTCACGGTGAGTTACAGCTTCCCCCCCCCTCCTCCCCTCCTTCCTATGTGGCGCACAGCTCGGGAGACCGCGATGGAGGTATTGAACTAGACTACGTGAGTTTCTTTTATTACACACTCAGCGCTATTAGCAATAATCAATACAAACTGTGATGCGGGTGAGGTTTGAACGCGAGGAGATCGATAGCTGTAGGGAATAATGTTTCGATAACGCTTTTGTTTCCATCTGTGTGCTCGGATCGGCTCACAGTCGCTACTGTCTATTATTAGGAGCCTATGTTGCTGTCAGCTTTATTTCCGAAACGTTTAACTGGTTATTTGTGGTGTCTCGGACTGTTTGTCATGGATACGTACAGTTCACGTCCGTCCCAAACCCAAACAGGGGGGTTTAATCGATCATTTTTCACCTGTGTGAACCCATATTGTCGGTGCATGCCAGCGCTGTGGATTATTTTTGATCAAAAACAAGCTCAGAACATGATCAGCGTTAGTGATCGGAGCTGGAAACGGTGCTTTGTGTGGAGAATATATATATAAAAAAAGAAAGCTGTGTTATGTTTGGGAGATGTTTAGTGTATGTGGGTTTATGTAAGAATTGGCTTCACTTCTGGGTCATGTTTTGGTACAGTCAGTCCCACTGTTTGCTCGAGTTCAGGATGAGTCACCGAGGAAAGCTTCGCTGCCAAAATGCGCGTGGAAGTTAAACGTTAAACGACCGTGTTTGTTTATTAAGTCCGATTTAACTTTAAAGTGCGAATCACCTCCAGTTATTGTGCAATCCCTTTCAGAGTGGCATCCGAGGATTGCAGGCCTGAGCTGTGGTTCCCAAACTGGGGTACAGGGTCCATCAGGGGGTCCTTGAAGGTGCTGGGGGTATATGATGATGTGTGTCGGGCTCATAGCACTCAGCTCTTTGAATCTAATGTGGTGTAAAGTTATTTTTTTAAATAGAGGCATTAATCAGCAGGTAAACCTAGAATAGATAGTAGAGTATTTTTAAGTAGTATAAATATGGTTATTATTAGTTGCAGCCATAATCCTTTGGTTTATAAAATGTCTGAACTTACAATTTCCCAGAGCCAATAATGCCTCCAGGTAGCTTATTGTGGTCAAAAGATAAGGCTGAAATCACAAAGAAAGTCCATTTACCACCATAGAAGACAAAGAGAAGCAGAAAATCTTCTCATTTGAGAAGCTGAAACCAGACAAATCTGCTTGGAAAGTGATGTAAAGAATGAACCAATTATCAGACTGGATACATTTTCTGTCAACCATTAAAACCATTGAATCGTTTTGCTCTAATTGAGTTATATTCAACAACGAACTCTGATGTAGTTTTGACCAAACTATACTCTCCTGTGCTGCACTGCTTGTTGTTCAACTTGGCGTTTTAAAAAAAAGAACATCTGCTCTCATTTCAAATGACAATCAGCCTTTAATGTCATACCTGACAACAGCGACTGTATATATAAACTGCACAAACTACAGAGAGATGCAGTAGGTCCAAGCGTAGACTCGGGGAGCCCATCTGTCAGCAAGCACTTTCTGTCTGCCTTGGAGAGTGAGCGAGTTGAGCAATAATATGTTTTCCAGCGAAACTATATTACTCAGAAACCTGGAGGGAGAATAGCACAGCAGTAAATCAGAATCACAGTGTGTTTCATATTACATCAGGATTAACTGCTGGCTGGCTGCCCTCATGACGACCTCCACGGTGGCCACTGACGTGTCACCGTCTGTTGATCAAATAGAAAATGCCCAGACATCATGAATATTTCGATTGCTTTATCTAATCTAAACTTCTTCAAGAGCAGGACGCAATAACCTACTTTCAGAATTAGACGCGGCAAGGCCATATAACCTGTTCACTCCTATCACGTCTTCAGGTACTGATGTGTGTTTGCACAACCTAACTCTGATGTTCACTCACATTGTTGCGGAGTAACTGATCAGAGAACATCAGGCAGACGATTAGACTGCTCTTTGTACTGTATGTCGCTGTTACGGGTAGTTCATGTTCTCAGAAGAAGAAGTTACATTGACAGAAAGAAGATGCGTTATTTTCCCTCTAGGTCATTTTAATGGTGTGGACCAGAGCCCATATATTCCCAAAAGACATATTCATTTCCAAATCAGTCTGCATGGCCGCCTCCTGCTTGTTTTATCATCTACTGCAGTGTAATTTCTTGGAATTTCTTAAAGTAAAGTAGCCTGTGATTGTGATTGAAAGATTTTTTGGGGGCTAATTTGTGCTTTAATTGTTACATGCTTGTGTACAAACACGCTGCGTGTGTCTGTTGTTAGGAAGAATAAGTAAGAGTGTGCTTCTGTTGGCTGGTGCACAAACCGTTCCTCTGTTCCAACCCTCCGCTGGACTGGTCACAGGACTGAGTAAAAACACTCAGTCATGCTGGCCAGCTAAATTCAAACCTAATTTAAGTCACTCCATCCTTCTCTATTCCTTATGCACTCATTCACGTGTTTCTTATTTGTCCATTTTTGCTAGGACCCGTTAGCAGTCTTAGGTTTTGGATGTGTAAGTAACAAGTTTGTTAAGCTTCACATGTTGGGGAAGGTGAGATTGAATATTCTTCTTATCAGAGACGCCTATAACCAAAGATGATAGGAGCTGGAGGCTGGGTGGGTGGGGGTTAAATGAGTTATATGCGAAAAGTAGCGTACTCATCATGCAAAGGAGGAGGCTTTGACCCTACTGAACTGCTCCAGGAAGAGTGCACAATGGGTGTGAAAGGCACAGTGACATAAAGTTTTGCTGTGTATGCTGGTAGATAGCGACAGATGCTGAGACAGCATGAGTTATAAACTGTTTCAATGCCTTAGTGAAAGTATGTGACCACTGTATATACATACCTTCTCACTGTCTCTCTCCCTCTTCTTTCCCAGTTGTCAGCTGATCCGACGGCTTCCTAGTAAACACAGCAGTGCAAACAAATTCCTTAGCTGGGCAACCTCTAGGAAGAGTCTCCGGAGAAAGCCACCAAACCCACTCCTCCCCCCATTCCCAAGGGCTCCAAGTTACGCTTGTGACAGTTTTGGCACCCAACTCTGTTTTTTGTTTTTTTTTCCCTTTCAGAGTCGACAAGCCTTCTACTGGTTCATCTACAGTATCTGTCTCAGCTTTCACCACAACTGTAGCCCCCTGAAGGAAGCTTTAATTATTACCTCTTAAAAATGAAGCAGTAAATCAGACTTTTTTCTCTCTAGAATAATCGGTATGCCAGACTGACCTGTGCGCGTGGTGAATCTCACAAGCATTTAGGTTAATTTGCCAAAAGAAACTCCAAAAAGATGATCCCTTAGACAAGAGACAGACCGCTTTCTTTGTCAGGACACATTGACACGTTTCTGTAGATCAACCCAACACCAACAAACAGCTGGAGTAAGATCCCTTTGAGTCTTTTACTTGTTCAGTTTATTATTCTTTCACTTTGTTCTGCAAAGACAACCCACGGGCTAAGGCAGAGGAATCCATCCCGAACTCAAGACATTTTAATTATGTTGGAACTGCAACATGTAAAAGTGCAACCAGCCATGACTGGCAGCTCACACACAAGTCTTTAGTAATGCCATAGTGAGCAATATGGCTGGACTCAAGTACTGAACAGAGCAAGGAAATCCTCATGTACGTATAAAACAAACTTAAACTCTTCCACAAAAACCCAGAAGAGCCCTGAGCCTTCTGCGGAGTCGTCTGCCAACTTTCAGTTCAAGGTCTTATTTTACCGATGCCTGCGCCTGGTGCAAGGATGCCCCAAAACACCGCCCGCTGTTCTTGAGAAAGCGAGTAAGGAGGAGGAGAACGGGTAGGAAATGACAGAGTGCCTGACAGAATGCAAAGCGCTGGTGACTCCGTCCACGCGCAATGGCCACCGCGTCTTCAGCTACACACTAGAGAGTCACACGGCAGCCGCCTTTGCCATCATGAACGAGCTGCGTCTGGAGCGTCAGCTGTGTGATGTGACTCTGCGTGTGCGCTACAAAGACCTGGAGGCGGTGGACTTCGTGGCTCACAAGGTGGTGTTGGCCTCCTCATCCCCAGTCTTCAGGGCCATGTTCACCAACGGGCTGAAGGAGTGCGGTATGGAGTTGGTGCCCATCGAGGGGATCCATCCCAGGGTGAGTCAGCTGTCAAATGTTTTCCATTCCACACACTGACCATTAAACATGATTCAAGGTTATGAACGTTTTAAAGGAGTATACTGATCATAATGGTGCATTTTTATATGTGTGACGTTAGGTTGGATTGGCACAATGTGTACTACATTGCTTTTCAGCCCAAAATGTTTTTGTTTTTTTACAGTAGTAGAGATGGACCCACTATTCTTCTAGCATAAACCACTGCTTAAGTTAAAGGTTTCAGCCTCTTGCCATTGCAGCACCAGGAGTGGGTTTTATGGGAGATGTTTTCAAAAACATTTGAATTATCACAGTAGTTTGGTGTGCAATCAAGGCTTCTAGTTGCTCTG